GAGCCCAGGAGTTTGAGGTTGCTGTGAGCTAGGCTGACGCCACGGCACTCTATCCCAGGCAACAGAGTGAGACTCTGTCTCAAAAAAAAAAAACATTATTCTGTAAAGGCTTCACCAGACTGTCAAAGGGTCCACGGCATGAAAAAAAGTGCCATGTATTAATAAATACCTTGTACTAGGAAAGTCCAAGTCCATGTGGAAATATCACCACCTCCAGGCCATCTCCATGGCCTCAGAGGGGCAGCCTAGCAGAATATTTGAGGTGAGGCCTGTCTTGAAAATCCCAGGAGGTAAGGCCACTATAGGTTTGTACCCCAATATATTCCTTCATGGAGGTCACAGTCTGAGACATAACACAACTATTCATAAATACAGGCTAAGGCCCTTAATGACCAGCGCAGGATGCTCCTAGGGGAAGGAGATTACCCTTCAGCTGGCTTGGTCAAGAGTTTCACAGAAAAGTTTGTGTTTAAACAGGTAGATTTGACAGGTGGGGTGTAGACAAGGACATTCCAGGCCGAGGGAACCACTGGCTTTGTTCTAGCCCAGTGAAGAAGAGAGCAAGTCACCACTGTCTATAAAGTAAGATTCCATGCCAGGCAGAGTGGTATCATAGAAAGAAAAAGAATCTTGGAGCTAGATGCTCTGAAATTCAGTGCCATGTCTGCCCCAGTGTGACCTCAGGTAAGGTACTTAACCTCTCTGAGCCTCAGTACCCTCATCAGTGAAATAAGGATAATGATACGGATTTTATGGGCTTTACTAAGGATAATAACAAGATTTGGGGGAAGATAAAGTAAAGCGATCATTGGTAAAGCCCTCTGCTAGCTGTTGATTATTTCTGGGACTGGGAATTAGCAGCTCAGACAGGATTCTTTCAGTTGCAAGTATCGGAAAACTCAGCCTAGGGGAATACATCAGTGACTCATGTATCTGAAAAGTCCTGGGAAAACAGTTCAGTTTCAGGCTTGGCTGGAATTCAGGGGCTCAGTGTCACCAGGACCTAGTGCCTATCTGTCTGTCTTTTCGTACTTGGTTCCCATAAGCCTTCTCCTCCACCAGACACTCCCCTCGTGGTGGCGAGATGGCTGCCACAGTCACAGCTCCGAATTCCATCTTTCCAGTTTTATTCCAATGGGACAGAGAGAAAAGCTCTTTTCAGTCATTCGAGTCAGAGCTTTGGGATTAGTTCTTTCTGAACCAGATTGACTTTGCATGACTCATCACTGGGGTCAGTGATATTTTGATTGAGAGTTGAGAAGAGATAGCTCCCCCAAAACAAAATCAGGGTACAGTTGGCAGAAAAATGTGACAGCAAAAGCAACAGATGTCTGCTCTAAGAGATTCAGGTTCTAGTGCTGACTTGATTGTGGCTCACCATGACCTTTAGCAAGCTGTGGACTCCCTGGGCCCCACTCCCCTCTTTCCAAAAACGTTGGCTGAGCTTGATGGTCTCTGAGGGTCCTTCTCCTGGCTCTGGCTCTAGAAGTCTACATTTAAATGAAGCCTGTGCTTTCTCCTCTTCAAAATCTCATTTGCTAGCTAAATACTCCTTCCATCTCCCATCTATTCATTGTCATCTGGGGCGTCTCCTCTTTCCTATGTTGATAAAGATCCCAGGCTGATACCAGCCTCTGGTTTGGACCTGATCAAGCCCCCAGCCAGAGAGGATCCTAAGGCTACTGACTTGAGCCTAACGCCATTGTCTGTGTGTCCTCTGATCTCTTCCCTCAGTTTCCCACGGGATCATGAGGCCAGTGGGTGCTCTAGGAGCTCAGAAGAAGAGGTGCTGCTGTTGGATGGATCAGGGAAGGCTTCCTGGAGGAAGTAGGATCTGAGTTCCTGAATGAATCCGAGTCGGTGGAGAAGAGAGGGAAGGCCATTCCAGGCAGGGGGAGCAATGTGGACAGATTGCCTGAATAAAGGGAGTGTCATCTGCCCTGAGCAGAGTGTTGGTGCTCCTGCTGCTGGTCGAGCCAGTGAGTCACAAAGAAATAGAAGGTGGCAGTGTAGAGGAAGAAGAGGAATAGGAGGACCTGCCAAGGGCAAGTGCCATGAGCTCAGATTTGGAGGAAATGACAGACATAGCCCTGCCATCAGGGCACTTCTGTTAATACCATGGTCACTCATCAGACCTGGCAGAGACTAAAGGGCAGACTTTTGGGCTCCCCATCATCTTCTGGGTAAAATCCAAACTCAGCCCAGCTTTGGAGGCTTTGGGCCAGTTGAAGTTCTCTGACATCACTCCCCTGACTTCCCCTCTCCCATGCAGTGCACTATTGTGTCCTTGAATGTGCCATGTTTTAGGCTACCTCTGTGCCTTTGGCCACGGTGGTCCCTCTGCCTG